CAGACACAGAATAGCTTGGTGGGGGCTGGAGGGGAGGGGGGCAAGTGTTGCACGGGGTCAGAGCTTCCGGCTAGGAGATGAGTTTTGGAGGTGGGCGCCGTGATGGCTGCACGGCGGTGTGGGTGGGATTCATGCCCCTGACTACACTGAGAAGTGGCCACCATAGTCAATTTATAGTATGTTTCACTGTGATGAAAAGAAAACCAGGCAGGCAGTACCAGTGGTAGCCCAGGGTGTGCTGTCCTTAACGGGGCGGGCGGGGCGGGGGTTAGTGGAGGCGTGGTGTCCTCATGGGGCAGGCGGTGCGGGGGTTAGTGGAGACGCGGTGTCCTCACGGGGCTCTTCTCTGGCCCCTCTCACCATGTGTAGCCCTCCTGTGGATGGGCCCCCACACCAGGCTGGTCTGTGGTCATTGGGCCTTGGGGGACAAGGACTGACATGGATGTGGATGATTTTCAGGTCATTGGGCTGAAGTCACAGTATGTGCATCACCCTGGCTGGCTCCTGGGCAGGGTCAGCACAAGGTTTGGGAATCGCTCAGGGCTGAGGCTTCCTCTCCAGTCCCTCTGGGTTTATGGCCTCCTGTGGGCTGAGACGAAGGCCCCTAGGGCAGAGTCCCCTCCTGCAGACACCCAGGAAGGAGGCGGCATTGGCTTCTCAGGCTGCTGCACTCATCCTGGGCTGGGCAGTGCTTTGGGAGCCTGAGGCCCTGTCTCAGCCCTCAGACCAGTGTTGCTGTGGCGGCACACGTAGCGCCTACACGGTGGTGCTTCCCGGCTTTCTGCATTCCTCGGCTCTGTGCAGATACAGGTGCTGGGCACAGGCTCCCCATGCCACCCAGGGCAGGGCCAGCCTGCTGCACACACCCCAGTGTTGTCCGTGGCTTCGTGGTTGACCTGCGGCCCTTCCAGGCAAGACTCCCTCAGCTCTCCCTTATTTGGGAGGTGGCCCCTGGGACTGGGTGAGGCTCTGGAGTCAGGTTCAGGGAAGGACTGAGATGCCCGCAGGGTTCTTGGAGCTGGGGAGGGTATCCATAGGGGTCAGTGTGACTTGGGCGGTGGCCTCTTGGAGACTGGTGTGCCAGGATGAGGCGGACCTCAGCCTGACCCAGCAGGGGCAGCTTGTGTGTAGGGACTGTGCCCGGAACGCAGACCTTGGGACATGGGGTGGGCTGCCAGGAGATGGGAGGAGGAAGGGGTGGGAGAGAGCTTCTGTGGGCTGTGTGGTGTCCGTGCCCCCGTGTGGTGTCCGTGCCCCAGAAGGCAGTGCATTGCTGGCCCTGAGCTTTCGGTTCTGAGTCACAGCTGTTGGATGCCATGAGCTTGGTGGACTGCCCCATGCCACTCCCCACTTGCTGGTGGCCACAGACTGGGTAGCCCTGTCCTTTGCTGGTAGAGAAGGTCAGTCCTCTCCCCAGTCCAAGCCATCTGGGCACAAGGAGCTCCCAGGCATCTGCTTTGTTTCTGGGTGCTGTGTCACCAGGATGCCTGTCGAGGGGCCCCTGCCAGCCTTCCTGGGGCCACACTTAGGCTCTGGAGCAGGGACAGGCTGCAGGGTGGTGGGGGGGGTGGCGGCGGGTTGCCACTGAGATGGACCCAGGCCCCGCAGCATCCATTGTGTTTCTGGGCTGCTTATTGGAGAACGTGAGGCTTCCAGCAACCCTGTCACAGGCTCACGGTGGGGGCTTGATGAGGGGGAGGTGTCGGCAGCGCCAGGCATGGCTAGGAGGGTCATCGGTGTTGGGTGCAGGAGTTAGCACCATCCCTGATGCCCACAGGGTGGCCTGTGGTCCCTTCTTTCATGGCTTGAGGGGAAGTGGTCTCTGGGCTAGTCAGGGCAAGCGGATTATGGACGAAGGGGCAGACCCTGTCTCGCCCTGTGCAGGGAGCTCTGGCGGCTGTCCCCAGACTCTGCAGCCGCAGGCGACTGTTTTCTGAGTCAGTCACGGGGGCTCTGCACTCCTCCTGTGCCAGGGGTTGAGGAGCAAATCTGTTAACTCCAGAAGGAAGCCAGTGCAGGTGGCGGAACCCCACGGTCACAGGAGCCTGGAGCCAGGACCGTTCTTGTCGGGGATGAGTCCGTGGACGATTTCTGACCCTTGGAAATGCACATTAAAATTTCCTTATTATGGATAGTTTTACTTAAGCAGACAAACTAGTAAAGTCACACCTTCCAAGGTTAACTTTGCCTGTGTTACTTTTCAGCAAAACCCAGATACCGTAACATTTCAGCTGTAACACGTCGATATGCAATTCATGTTTTTTGGAAACAGAGTCTTTCTGTCACCCAGGCTGGAGTGCAGTGGTGTGATCTCGGCTCACTGAAACCTCCACCTCCCGGGTTCAAGCGATTCTCCTGCCTCAGCCTCCCGAGTAGCTGGGATTACAGGCATCCGACACTAAGCACAGCTACTTTTATTTTATTTATTTATTTTTGTCCTTATTTATTTTTTCCTTTTTATGGAGAACGGGGTCTGGCTGTATTGCCCAGGCAGGTCTTGAACTTCTGGGCTCAAGCCATCCTCCTGCCTCTGGCTCCCTAACAGCTGGGATTACAGGCATGAGCCACAGTGCCTGGCTATTTATTTTTTTGAGATGGAGTCTCACTGTGTTGCCAGGCTGGAGTATGGTGTGTAATCTCAGCTCACTGCAACCTCCGCCTCCCAGGTTCAAGTGATTCTCCTGCCTCAGCCTCCTGAGTAGCTGGGGTTACAGGTGCACGCCACCACGCCCGGCTCATTTTTTGTATTTGTATTAGAGATGGGGTTTTACCATGTTGGTCAGGCTGGTCTTGAATTCCTGAAGTCAGGTGATCCGCCTGCCTTGGCCTCCCACAGTGCTGGGATTACAGGCGTGAGCCACCATGCTTGGCTCTGGCTAAGTTTTTTTGTATTTTTTAGTAGAGACAGAGTTTCTGCATGTTGGCCAGGCTGGTCTCGAACTCCAGACCTCCAGTAATCTGCCCACCTTGGCATCCCAAAGTGCTGGGATTACAGGCGTGAGCCACCACACCCGGCCAGAAACTTCCTCTAATCCAGCTTTTGGTGCTGGATTTTGCAGGGGCCTCGTAGGTAGCTCTGGGTCATTTGTGTCTAATGTTTTCAGTGCCCTCCCCGTGACTGGATTTTGCAGCGACCTCCTAGATAGCTCTCTAGACACAGCCACTGTGTGATGTGACATCTGGCTTTGCAGCTCCGTTGTGGGTCATTTGTACTGGGTGTTTCCTGCATCCAGCGTCCTCCTGTTACTGGGTTTTTATTCACTACTGCTCTGTGTGCTTGCTCTTTTTCTTTTGATCTGTTATCCTCCAAATATAGATCATGTGAACTGCCTCATGTTTTACTTTCCCTGGTAACGAGGTCACAGGACCACACTATGGATGTTTTTGGAAATGGTGCTGGGTCTCTGCTGAAGTCCCTGGGAGGACGTGTCTCTGGGGGCACCAAGGTGCCCAGGAGCCAGTCCTGGTTGAGAGCCGGGGCAAGGGGCACCCAGGAAGTGGGGAGAAGGGCAGGCAGGCTGCAGGGCTCATCTCTTGGGCTGGCAGGCCCCCGCCTGTGACACATCTTTCTGCACCTGCGGGATTGATTTCCCTGGCAAATGTCTACTCCTGAAACCTTTTCTGCAGAAAAGCTCATGAGATGCTTGCCAGAGGCGCCTGTGCCTGTCTCTAGTGCGCCGTGGCCGCTGCTCTGCCTGTCCTGCAGTCGCTCCGCGGTGCCGTCAGCGTCCCTCCAGGCCCAGGTGTGGCAGTCTGTGGTGTCCTGCAGTGCTTTCTGCAGGGTGCTGACGTTGCACGCCTCCTCCACGCAGGGGCGCTTGCTCATGGTGTTTGTCTTTGAACAGAACCACCTGGCCGTGTTTGCAGCGGTCCACCCGCCGACCCCCAGCGTGAGCTCCAGTGTGGCGTCCAGCCTGGCGTCCAGCGCTGGCTCCGGCAGCTCCTCCCCCACCGCGCTGCCCGTGCCCGCTGCCCGCACCCTCCCGCTCCGCCCCGCCGGCAGCACCGTGGAGGCCATCCTTGGTAAGTCTGGTGCCGTCCTCCTTTCTCCCTGACCTCCTTCTGTGCCCATGCTGTAGCTTTTCAGCAACAGCGCTTCTATTTCAGGACATGTTACAGAATCGTCGTGTTTGTAGAGAAACCAGATGTATGTTTTCTGATGTCTGTCACTTTGGTCGTGTTGCACTTGTGGTTCTGAAAACAAGCCTTGGCTCAGAGAGGCTCCCAGCCTGGGTGCCACGGGCGCTGGGGACGAGGAGCTTCCCAGGAGCCAGGCAGAGTGGGTGCCGCCCGGCCCAGGGACTGAGAGGGAGGCTGCTGAGAGATGTTGGGAGTCATGGGAGCTGCCGGGGGCCACATGGTGGGCCCTTGCTCCAGTGCCTGCACGGGCACACCCTGGGGACTCAGAGTGGGACCCCAGCACCGTGAGGGCCCACGTCAATGCATGAGGTGACTGGATGGCCAGACCTGCAGAGACGCCTGCCCGACAGCCTCAGCTGCTGGTCATTGACCGGCTTGGACGGACCTGCTCGGGCCCAGCTGCAGGCCCCCGGTAGCTCCACCCACGAAGGCCTCTCCCTCCCTCAGAAGGCCCTGGGGAGAGTGGGAATCCTGGATGGCCGCAGCACTGGTGCTGGGCTCTGTCTGGGCAGGGGCACAGGCGCGGGCAGTGTTTGCCTTGTTTCATCCTCACTGGCTGGGAGCACTGGGCTGCCCTACCCGGGAAGGGCTCCTCGCTTCTGCCTCAGCCTGGCGGCCTCACCTGTTTCAGGACACGACTGAAATTCCGCCTTCTGGTCTGTTTTGAAAATTATCTCCTTCTCTTGGGGCCTTGGGAGGAGGAAGTATGGGATGTAAGATGAGTCCTGTTGGGGCTTTACCTTAAAGGGTGGGTTTTAACGCTGTAAAATTTAACGGGTGGTATTGCTGTGTTACGTTTCTCTCGTGCAGAAACAAGTGTACATGTTTTATTACAGCTTGAAACTGGGGTATCCGTGTTGTTCTCTTGAACCAGAGAGGTCTCATGAATTGAATATGCTGGGGTCCCCACCCGCATCCCATTCCACCCCAGCCCAGGGGTAGAGAACTTGGAGGCCAGCACAGGAGACAGCCTTCCCTGAGTTGTTTGTGCGTTTTGGGGTTTTATGTTTTGAGTCAGGGTCTCGCTCTGTGGCCGGGGCAGGAGTGCAGTGGTGCAGTCAGCTCACTGCAGCCTCAAACCCCGGGCGCAGGCCACCCCCCTGCGTTAGTCTCCCGCGTATAGCTGCGGCCGGGCCCAGCTGGAACATGCTGGTTCTAATCTGACATCGCTGTGTAACCCAGGGCCATGGATCTTGTTAAATCACACCCTCAAATTTACACATCCCCTCAGAAACCTAGGGTCACACAGTGGCTAAAGCCCCATGAGGGTCTGGCCTCTGAGCAGGTTTTTTTTTTTTTTTTCCTCTAGTTCTGTTGCCCAGGCTGCAGTGCAATCTCGCCTTACTACAACCTCTGCCTCCAGGGTTCAAGCAGTTCTGCCTCAGCCTCCCGAGTAGCTGGGATTACAGGCACCAGCCACCACACCTGGCTAATTTTTGTATTTTTAGTAGAGTTGGGGTGTCACCGTGTTGGCCAGACTGGTCTCGAACTTCTGACCTGAGGTGATCTGCCTGCCTTGGCTGCCCAAAGTGGTGGGATTACAGGCGTGAGCCAATGTGCCTGGCCATGATTGATTTATTTTTTTACACAGAAACATTGTTTTTTAAATAAAGTTACTCTTCCCTAACCTAAAAGTAGCAATGGTAGAATTCCAGCATAGCAGAAAAATATTTAGGAAAATTAAATCTCAAACAGGTGAGACCATTTTTCTACTCTGCCCACTCAGGTGGAAAACAGAACCAGGTGTCTGTGGGCTTGACAGAGGCCTGGCTGCCCACGTAGCGCACCTTCAGATAGACTGGAGTTTGCACATTTGTAGTAATTTTTCCGGCCGTTCTTTAATATCTGAGGTACGTTTTCAGCTGTTTCAGGCTGTCACTCTCCATCTTGAAGCACATCAACTTTCATTGACTTAAATATTTCCTGAGCTGTGAGCAGTGGCTTAACACCTGTAATGGCAGCACTTCAGGAGGTGGAGACAGGCAGATCACCTGAGGTCAGAAGTTCAAGACTAGCCTGGCCAATATTGTGAGACGCTGTCTGCACTAAAAATACAAACATCAGCTGGGCCTGGTGGTGCATGCCTGTAATCCCAGACACTCAGGTGGTTGAGGCACCAGAATTGTTTGGACCAGAGAGGTGGAGGTTGCAGTGAGCTGAGATCATGCCACTGCACTCCAGCCTGGATGACAGAGTCTCACTCTAAGAAAAAAAAAATTCCTGAACCAGCTACTCAGAGGTGAACAGGTGGATTGACACTGCCTTAGTTACAGGCAATGTATTGCTGCTGGTGCAGCTGAAATTGTGAGCTTTGCCACCCAGTGGCAGCCTCATTTTTTTCTTCTGTCCATGCCCGTGGCATCGCTGTGAAGTTACAGCCCTGCAGGAGCCGCAGGTACAGGAGGCAGTGTCACCAGAGCTGCCCGCTAACCCCAGGCTCAGGGATTCCCCGCCCACGGCGCACAGGCCTGCCCGGCCCCAGGTGTCGGCCGGCCTGCCTGCCTGCTGCATATTTTACTAGCTATTGTAGAGGCTGTTGGGCGACGCAGGTGTAGACTGGGTCGTTTTTGCCTTGTGTTAATAGTGTAATTTCCTTCAGGTTGTGCTATGACTGAAGCCCAGAGTAGAAGAATGAGCGGATTCTGTATTTAAGGGATTGAGTGGAGTCATTTCAGGGTCATCCGATAGGTTCCATTTTCTTTCATCTTCCACTTTGTAGGTACAGGTTTCAGATGCTGAGTGACCTGTGAGCCCATTACCCTGCGTTTAGATGGGGCTGGGCGGGCACGCGGACTTGGGAGGGAGGAGAGTTCTGCAGGGAGGCAGCGGCTCCAGGTCACGCCGCCCCCGCGAGCGCTTGTGTTGGGTCCAGCGTGTTTCACTTGAGTCCGCCCAGAGCCGCCGCAGGTGCAGGTGGGCCGGGCAAGAAGGGCTGGGCAGCGGGGCGGCTCTGGGGCGATTCGCCTGAAGACCTGTGTCCCCCGCTGTCCGCGCCCACCTGCCCGCCCGGCTCTGGGCCAGGAGCAGCGGAGGTAGGGTACCCCCGGCTAGGGGGTGAGGTTGGGGGAGGGCAGCGCGGGGGGCGGGGCCAGGGCGGCGGGGGGCAGGGGCGGATGGATGGGCTTGGCCGGCGCGTTGCGGGGCGGGGCCAGAGCGGCGAGGGCGGGGCGGAGGGTGGGCGTGGCCGGCGCGGCGAGGGCGGGGCGGAGGGTGGGCGTGGCCGGCGCGGCGAGGGCGGGGCGCGGGCCGGGTTTGAATCCCCGGCGGCGGTGCGGGGCGGCCGCAGATCGTGAGTCAGCATCGGCGGCGGCCCGGCTGCTAGGCAGCCCTGTGCCGTCAAGGTGTGGGTGTCTCTTACTCGGCACTCAGGAGTGGGCCGTCCCCTAGGTGCGCCCCCCAGGTGCGTTCCCGCGTCCCGCAGCCGGGTGTGACTGTCGCGGGGTGGGTCCGAGCTTCTCTAGAGGCCCGGAGCGAGGCGAAGGCGCCGCCGCCTCGGAACTTGTCTCTGCCGGGCGCTCGCCGCTTCTCAACGCTGGTCCGGGCCTCTTGCTTCCCCTACCGAGGCGGGGTCGGGGTGGGGCCGGGCCCAGGATACTGGAGGGGAAGCAGGGGCGGGCAGGGGCTGGCAAGGAGAATGCTGGGGAGCGGGGCAGGAGAGGGCAGGGGGGCCAGGGCAGGAGAGGGCAGTGGAGCCGGGGCAGCAGAGGGCAGGGGAGCCGGGGCAGCAGAGGGCAGGGGAGCCGGGGCAGCAGGGGAGCCGGGGCAGCAGAGGGCAGGGGAGCCAGGGCAGCAGAGCGCAGGGGAGCGGGGCAGGAGAGTTCCGGGGAGCCGCTCAGGAGAGGGCAGGGGAGCGGGGGCAGGAGAGGGCAGGGGAGCGGGGGCAGGAGAGGGCAGGGGAGCGGGGGCAGGAGAGGGCAGGGGAGCGGGGGCAGGAGAGGGCAGGGGAGCGGGCCAGGAGAGGGCAAGGGAGTGGGGCAGGACACCTGCGTCCTGGCCGGGCCCAGCCTGCACTCTGCTCGTTGGCATGGGGCAGTCCCCGCCCTGGCCTGAGTTCCGAGGAGCCTGTAGCTTGTCCTCGGGTGTCCCTGACCCCCGGGGACCGCAGCGCTTTGAATATGCTGTGTCACAACAGAGCTCGGCTGTGTGGTTGTGACTCAGCGGGGGCCGGGGTTTCCTAACTCTGGGAGCTGAGGCAGCCTGGCCTGGTGAGACTGGTTCTGGGTCAGGTGCCTGGCCCAGCTGTTCTCGCTTAGGTAACCAGCGTCCCCTAGATTTTGCCTCTGCACAAGGGTCAGCTCTTTCTTTGAGGATGTTTCAGAAGATTTGGGTCTGACCTTGGAACAGTGAGGTGAGGTGGGGGAGGCCCTACGCTCAAGAAAGTGGGCCAGAATGGTGCAGCAGCCGGCCCCCCGCCAGCTTTCTGAGAGTGAGCCCCTAAGGGTGGTGGAGCCTCCTGGGACCCTTCCAGTTGCCCTCTTTGGATTAGTGGTACCTGGCTTTGAAGCAGGGCCAGAGTGTCTGGGGGGGATCTCAGATGCTCCCCAAACATCCCTTCTCCAGGCGGCTTCCCGGGCTCCAGTGCAAGTGACTTGGCTGAGTTAGGTGGTGGCTGCCACCCTCAGCTGAGTGGGAGCCGCAGTTTGTCAGGTGAGCAGTGAAGGCAGCCCCTCATGTGCTGCGCCCTTCGCACCTGGTCGGGGGCGCCTCTGTGCGGAGTTTACTTAGATCCCGGGGTGATTAACCCACTTCAAGGGGAGAAAAGGTGCCTCTGATCCTGTCCCTCCCAACTCCTTTGTATCTTTGCTTTTCATGATGAGTTTCTGGACCTCTGCCAGGTGTGAGGAACAGTGAGCTCTCAAGGGGCTGTACCATCCTGATTCTGGGACTTGGGTGCAGAGGGCAGGTCCACGTTCCTAAGCCCGGCTGAGCTGACCAGGCACAGATGGCTCAGCCCTCCCCGTCATCAAGTCCCAGCATGGGAGCACCAGGGTGCTTTGGGCAAGCCTGTGGTGGGGGGTTGGTGCCTGTCCTCAGTGGGTGAGTCTGTCCAGGGCCCTGGTATGGTTTACTGGCATGCGTGAGGGCACAAGCTGCCTTCTTTCTTGCAGGACAGGACTCAGGCCGCGATGAGGTTTTCATAGTAGGAAGGTCACTCCTGTGACGCATGAAGACTGGGCATGGGCCTCAGTGAGTGTGGGCTGAGGGAGGAGGAGCTGAGTGTTCCTATCAGGGCCTGGCCGGCAAGCAGCCCTTGAGGAGGGGATCCTGCAGTGCCAGCTTCCTGGAGGCGCCTGCACACACAGTGTCTGGGAAGGCCGTGCAATAGAGGGATCTTTTGCCAGAGAGGAGGAAGGGCTGTGGCCGCCTGCTGAGGGACGTCCAAGACATCTGGGCTGCAGAGCCACTGTTGGGTGGGTCCAGACCACAGGAGAGGCTGCCAGCCCTTAGGGAGGAGGGTGAGCATGGGGATGGGCCTGGGGGGAGGCTGGTGCTGTGACCAGAGGCAATTCAGGGCACAGGTGCAGGGCTGGAGGGAAGGGCACCAGTGGTGGTAGACTGAACAAGTTGTGAGGAGGCCCCAGAAACAGCTGCAGGGGGGGCGCAGGCTGGTCAGAGGTGGGGGTCTCCTCCCTGAGGGAGAGCTCAGGGAGGGAGGGCTGTGTACATCATGGGGCAGATCTGTTGGTCCAGAGTTCTGAGGGGCCTGGGGTCCCTGCGGAGGACAAGCAGGACCAGCAGGGGTATTTCAGGTGGCCCCCATGTCCTGGGTTGAATTGTGTACCCTAAAATATGCATCTGAGGCCAGGTATGGTGGCTCATGCCTGCAGTCCTAGCACTTTGGGAGGCTGAGGCAGGTGGATCACGAGGTCAAGGTGAGACCAGGCTGGCTCACATGGTAAAACCTCATACCTACTAAGAATACAAAAATTAGCCAGGCGTGGTGGCGCATGCCTGTAATCCCACTTACTCAGAAGACTGAGGCAGGAGAATCGTTGGACCTGAAAGGCAGAGGTCGTAGCGAGTTGAGATTGCCCCACTACACTCTAGCCTGGCAACAGAGCAAGATTCTTTCGGGGGGGCGTGGGGGAGAGATGCATCTGAGCTGCAGGCCCCTCGCCTGGGAACGTGACGTTATGTGGAAACACATCAGGTTCTTTTCCCAGGGTTGGCTATCCACGGTCTCGGTTACTGATGTGAGGTCTGAATTCAGGGTGGTACAATACAGGAGGACATTTTGTCGCTCACGTAACTTTTATTACTATGTAAGGTTGAAATCCGTCTGTGTTACTAGTTCATTTTGTTAATCTCTTACTGGGCTTGATGCACAAATGGGGATGTTCGTATAGGAAAAAACCTGCTATATAGGGGGTCTCGTGCTGCCTGCCGCGTCAGGTGTCCACGGGGGTCTTTGAATGTATCCCCCCTGCTACAAATTTGGGGGTGCTACTGCAGGGTCCTCGTAATTAGCTTATAATGAGAGGCCGGTAGGGTGGGACCCTAAGCCAGTGACCAGTCTCTTTATAAGAAGAAACTTGCACACAGACACTCTGAAGAGTTAGTCCCCAGAGCAGAGGCAGACACCGGAGCCATGGGGCTGCCAGCCATGAAGGAGGATGGATGCCAGGAGGAGGAGGAGGAGCACCCCAGGCCCTGGAGGGAGGGAGGAGGAGGGAACAGGGAGGCGTTCCTGCTGACTGCGTGTCTGAGACTCCAGGCCTTGGATCCACCTGTGTGAGGCTGTTCAGTGCCTGGTTCTCTGTTGCTGTCTCCAGCGTCTCGGCCTTGTGCTGCTCAGCACGGCTTCTTTCAGGCTTTGACATCACGCCTGCTTCTGCCATGGTCAAGGACATCAGCCGGGTAACAGGGACCAGCAGGGCTGGCTATCCTGCAGGCCACGGTGGATGTCGCTTAGGGATACCTTGTCTTGCGAATGGGGAGAAGACTGCATGGCTGTGGGTGCTGCCAGCTGCGGGCCTGCCTTTGGCTCCACTGATGAACAGCCTTGAGGACCAAGGCCTTCACGGCTGCCGTTGGGATTCCTGGTCCCCAGAGGGTCTTGGCCTGGCTGCTCCCACCCCCCACTTGTTCCTCTAGTTTCTGGATAAGACCTTCAGAAGTCCCTAAAAGTTTCATTTGAACGGTGTCTCCTTGGCAGTGGAGATGACTGTCCCACGCACTATGTGCCCTGTTGGATGGCTAGGGGGTCGGGTTCTCTGCCCCTGGCTCTGCTGCCTCTGTGTGACGGGATGGGGAAGGACCGCGTTGCCAGGTGGCTCTGCAGCTTGGAAATTCCCTCGGGGCTGGTGTGTGGCTGAGGGTTGGGGTCTGGGGTGGTGCTGTGGAGTGGGGTGGGGGTGGCCTCTGCTTTGCGGTCTCGAGTCCCGCGTCCACCCTGAGCCAGGCTCCTCCCATCTGCTGCTCTGGGTGGTGGAGTGTCGTCTCAGCATGGTGTGGCTGCTGAGCGGGTCCAGATTTGGGGTGAAGAGTCCCGGACCTGCCAGGCAGCGCCATGTCCACACCAGCCTGTGTGCGATGGGTCGTGTACTGCCGGGCCACCCCCAAGGCACGAGGGTGTCCTGACTGCAGGGGGGGCTTGGAGCGTGTTGCCACCGAGCACCAGGCCTCGGGCGAGCGGCCTCCCTGTGCTTGCTGACGTGGTCCCCGCGGTGCTGACTGGTGCCGGCTGGTTCTAGGGGGAAGCCTGGATGGAGGGTGGGGTGCAGGCCACGTGCTGAGGCTGGGCCTCAGCCACACTGCGTTCCCCCCCAGTCTCCCGTGTGGCTGGGGCCTCGTCCTTCGGAAGGCCTCCCTCCTGTCCTTTCTGCTGCCGACGCTGGCACTGTCTGGAAGGGCCCCAGAGTGGGTTTCGTCCCTCAGCCGCTGAGTCCCTGTTTGTCCAGCTGTTTGCCGGGACGCCCCCGGTGTGGTGAACCTGCTGTCACCCTGACATGGGCACCAGGACTGGGTCCCGGGAGTCTCAGCCCTGGTGTGATGGGGCGGGGTGGGGGAGTGAGGCTGCCAGAGCCCTGTGAGGGTGGGACTGGATGCTGGGCAGGTGGGGGGCAGCGACTGCGTCTCTGCTCCCTCTGGGCCCCACCTGGTCTGAACCCAGCACCAGGCAGTGGCTCACCAGGCTGGAGGTTCCCGGTGCACTGATCCCCACAGTCGGGTCTGACAGGCGTCCCCCTGGGGTGCAGTTGCCTGGGGCTGTGGAGGGACCACCTGTCCCAGGTGCGGACAGGAGGACAGGGGTCTGGAGCCCTTCAGGGACAGGCAGGGGTGGCTCTGCCGGTCTCAGTGCAGGACTCAGCAGTATACTGTCCAGTACCAGGCATTGGTGGGGGTCCAAGAACAGAGAGACCCCACGCAGCGCATGTGGGAGGGTGGACGCAAAGGCGGGCTGGCGGGTAGAGGGCACCTTTGTGGAGGCTTGTGCACGTGCTCTGTGCTCCTGAGGTATCTGTGCGGTGTTGGCTGCCACACTGGGCTTCGGAGGCGATGCTGTCCCGCAGGGTGTGTCCCGGAACTCCTGCAGCTGCAGTGGTCCCCTGGCTGCTCCACGTGGCTTGAGGGTTCCGGATCCCAGGCCCTCCAGCAGCACCCCACCCCCCAACCCAACCTCTGTGCAGAGGCTGTGCAATTTCAAGAAGAGCTGTGGCTTCAGGGCTGGTGGCCTGAACTCAGCCTCCCCAGGACGGCTTCCTAATTCTAGGAAGGGGCACTGGGGTCACCGCTGCCCACCACTTGGGGTGAGGGGTGGGGACTTGGGAGGGAAGGCAGCCCCACGGCCTGCAGGGACAGGTGGGGACAGCCGTGGGAGGCAGGGCTGGCCAGGTAGGCCTACTCCGTCTTGAGGGATGGGGTCTGAGTCTCGGTGCTCTGCATGAAACTGCACATGAACACCTGCTCCTTGAAATCAGCCTCCCAGAAAGTTTTTTACACAGTCAAGTGTGCACACTTGGTCAGAAGCTAACATGTGCTTAGGTATTTAAACTGTAAGGGGCAGCAGCAGCGCGTCAGGGGCAAGGGCCCAGCTGCTGGGGTGCAGTGTGGGGCGTCTGTCTGAGCACATGCTTTCTGCCACTGGAGGAGCCAAGCCTCCTGCTGCCTGCTGGGGGCTGCATGGACTGGGTGGGGGTGTCCTTCCAAGGCTCCCCGAGCAACTTCCACACCTCCTACCCCGGGTCTTGAAGCCCAGGCGGACAGTCCTCCTCAGCTAGGCTTCTGAGCTCTACAGCACCAGGGAGCCTGTGGATGATGGGGGCCTCTGTTGACAGGTTCTGCGTTAGATCTACATCTTAGTGATGTGAATATTGCATCCCTAGAGAAGGATCTGGAAGAGCAAGACGGACACGACCTGGGACCAGCAGGTGAGGTTGTGGAGGACCTGAGGCCCTGCTCCTCCAGCCACCGAACTCCTGAGCGCTTTGCGGGTGGATCACTTGAGCTCGGGAGGTCAGGGCTGCAGTGAGCCGAGATCGCACCATTGCACTGCTGCCTGGGTCACAGGGCAACACTCCATCTCTGGTTTTGGGGTGGGAGGGTCCCCTTCTGGCAGTACCTCTCCCTCACTTCCATTCCACTCCCCTGCACTTGTACTCCTCAGTGCCCCTCTTTCCTGCCCCAGGTCACCTTCCCACTTCTTCAGTTTACCCTGAGGACAAACATATTTACTTTGTATACAAAATGTATTAACATTGTAGACCAAAGATCAACACCAACATAAATGCATTTTTTTTTTTTTTTTTTTTTTGAGACTGAGTCTTGTTCTGTCGCCAGGCTGGAGTGCAGTGGGGCAATCTCGGCTCCCTGCAACCTCCGCCTCCCGAGTTCAAGTGATGCTCCAGCCTCAGCCTCCCAAGAAGCTGGGGCTCCAGGCCTGTGCCACCATGCCTAGTCTTTTTAGTAGAGATGGGGTTTCACCGTCTTGGCCAGGATGGTCTAGAACTCTTGATCTCATGATCTGCCTGCCTTAGTCTCCCAGAGTGCTGGGACTACAGATGTGAGCCACCACACCCAGCCGATGCAAATATATTTTAATGTATCCTAACGTCTCACACAAGATCCCTTCCTTCAGCCTAAAAGTTTATCTTTTTCTTTCTGACTTTAAAAGAAAATAAACCATTTCGGGGCAACTGCACCAGTGTTGGGAGGGCTGTGCCAATGGCTGAGTTGGCTGGCAGGGCCTGGTGGGTGTTGGGCCTCTTGGGGGCCCACATTGAATGCCTGTGTCCCACCTCTGGTTAGAATCCCTTTGAGCCCGTGGCTTCCCCAGATTGTGAGGGATGTGGTTACCTGGAGCTCTGTGACTCCACACCCATGGGTGGCGGCTGCTGGCCTGGCCTGGCCCCCATCACCCCCGCCTCCCCACCACCACCGCCTTACAGGGTTCGTCTTCTGTAGCTGCCCCCCGGCCCGTGGGCGGATGTTTGGGCAGAGGCCTGGCCTTACTCCCTTCACTCACTGGGCCGCCCCCGCCAGGTCCCAGGTTGCTGGCTGGCTCTGCGCCTGTCGCCATCCCCGGCTCCCTGCCCCGAGCACCGTCAGTGCACTCGCCATCCTCTGCGTCCACCTCGCCGCTCAGCTCGCTGTCCCAGCCCCTGCCGGGGCCCTCAGGCTCCTCGGCCATGACGCCCCCCCAGCAGCCGCCGCCCCTGCGCTCAGAGCCGGGGACACTGGGCTCCGCAGCCTCATCGTACAGCCCCTTAGGTGAGTGCCGGCGCCCTCCACGAGCATTCCCACCCAGACACCCTCCTGAGTGGGGGGCCCCGCACGGAGCCATGTGCCCAATCCATGGAGGGAAACCACATGGCACATGCTCACGGCATCTTTCCATTAAAAAAACGTTACCGTTGGTTATTTTAATAAATTGATTACCAGTTGTTTAAAAAAAAAAAAAAAAGTTACTTACGTGATTCGTCATGTGTTTCCCTGTCCCCTGCCCTTCCGGAGATGGCGTCTCGCTCTGTTGCCCAGGCGGGAGTGCAGTGGGATGATCCCCCCAGCTCACCACAATCTCCACTTCCTGGGTTCAAGTGATTCTCCTGCCTCAGCCTCCCGAGTAGCTGGGATTACAGCTGTATACCACCACGCCTGGCTAATTTTTGTATTTTTAGTAGAGGTGGGGTTCCACCATGTTGGCCAGGCTGGTCTCGATGTCTTGACCTTGTGACCCGCCTGGCTGTTTGTTCACATTTTAAAAGACGCGACACTTGGCCAGGCATGGTGGCTCACACCTGTAATCTCAGCACTTTGGAAGGCTGAGGTGGGCAGATTACTTGAGGCCAGGAATTCGAGACCAGCCTGGCCAACATGGTGAAGCGCCATCTCCACTGAAAATACAAAATGAGCCGGGCATGGTGGCGCCTGCCTGTGATCCCAGCCCCTCTGGAGGGTGAGGCAGGAGAATCGCTAGGACGTGGGAGGCGGAGGTTGTGGGGAGCTGGGATAATGTCATTGTACTCCAGCCTGGGCAACAACAGCAAAACTACATCTAAAACCAAACCAAAACAAAACTCTTAACACTTTCGGCCAACATGGTGGCTCACACCTGTAACTCCAGAACTTTGTGAAGCCAAGGTGGGCAGATCACCTGAGATGAGGAATTCGAGACCAGCCTGGCCAACATGGTGAAGCGCCATCTCCACTGAAAATACAAAATGAGCCGGGCATGGTGGCGCCTGCCTGTGATCCCAGCCCCTCTGGAGGGTGAGGCAGGAGAATCGCTAGGACGTGGGAGGCGGAGGTTGTGGGGAGCTGGGATAATGTCATTGTACTCCAGCCTGGGCCACGGAGCTAGACCCCATCTCTTTTTTTTTTTGAGACAGAGTTTCGCTCTTGCTACCCAGGCTGGAGTGCAATGGCGCGATCTCGGCTCACCGCAACCTCTGCCTCCTGGGTTCAGGCAATTCTCCTGCCTCAACCTCCCGAGTAGCTGGGATTACAGGCACGCGCCACCATGCCCAGCTAATGTTTTGTATTTTTAGTAGAGACGGGGTTTCACCGTGTTGACCAGGCCTCACCGTGTTGACCAGGATGGTCTCGATCTCTTGACCTCGTGATCCACCTGCCTCGGCCTCCCACAGTGCTGGGATTACAGGCTTGAGCCACCGCGCCCGGCCATAAATATTTCTATTTTTTTAAGACAAAGTCTCTCTCTGTTGCCCAGGCTTCAGCGATCTTGGCCCACTGCAGCAGCCTCCGCCTCCCAGGTTCAAGTGATTCTCCTGCCTCAGCCTCCCGAGTAGCACAGGTGCCCGCCACCATGTGCCAAGCTAGTTTTTGTATTTTTAGTAGAGACCAGATTTTACCATGTTGGCCAGGCTGGTCTCGAACTCCTGAGCTCAAGTGATCCACCCACCTCGGCCTCCCAGACTGCTGGGATTACAGGCGTGGACCACCCTGCCTGCCCAGTTTTGTTTTAAAGTAGCATTTAAAACGGCTCGGTCACAGTGTCTAAAGCTGCATACACATTAACAGATGTCACCACATGGACACAGCTCATCGGAGTCTCAGTGTGTGAGGGGTTCCTGGGAGTGGAGTCTGAGAACCACTGCCCTTCCCACTTCGTGATGTGGTCGCAGGAACTCGAATTGAATTCCTCTCTGTTCAGACTCCTCAGGTGGCCAGGAAGGCATAAACCTGGTGGGGAGACCAGGGCAGGTGTCCCTGTCAGCACCCCAGCTCTTCCTGAGCCAGGTGGGGTCCAGGAGTGAGGAAGGGGCTGTCGTGGCTGCACCCGTGCAGTCACGGCAGGTGGGTCCTGGAGGGTGCTCCCCGGGAATAGCACCCACCAGTCGCACCCAGCCACCAGCACCACGGGGCTGTCATCGCCCCTTTCACACTCAGGTTTGAACGGTGTCCCTGGGAGCATCTGGGACTTTGTTTCCGGCAGCTTCTCCCCCAGCCCATCCCACATCCTGAGCTCCGGACCCTCGTCCTCTTCGGGTGCAAGTCCAAACGGGGCTGAGCTGGCCCGGGTCAGGCGGCAGCTGGATGAGGCCAAGAGGAAGATCCGGCAGTGGGAGGAGTCCTGGCAGCAGGTGAAGCAGGTGAGCATGTGGGGGTGACAGGTGAAGAGAAGGGAGGGTGGCACGGGACTCGGGAGCGGGGGAAGACCGCAGGGGACACAGGCGAGGCAGAAGGGGCTGAGGTGGGCCTGGCCGCCACCTGGACGGGCCCTGGTTTTAGGCCTGCGACGCGTGGCAGCGGGAGGCGCAGAAGGCCAAGGAGCGTGCCCGTGTGGCGGACAGCGACCGGCAGCTGGCACTGCAGAAGAAGGAGGAGGTGGAGGCGCAGGTGAAGCAACTGCAGGAGGAGCTGGAAGGCCTGGGCGTGGCCTCCGCGCTGCCGGGGCTGCGTGGCTGCGGCGACATCGGCGCCATTCCTCTGCAGAAGCTGCATTCGCTGCAGAGTCAGCTGCGCCTGGACCTGGAGGCGGTGGATGGCGTAAGTCCCGGTCAGGGGGCTGAGGAGCTGCTGTCCCTGTCCGGGGAGAGCTCTGGCTGGTGCGGTGTCCCCTCCTCCGCCTCCCCGTTTCCCTCGGGTCTGCTCTGGGTCTGTGGAGGGGATAGTGCCTTGCCTCGGCACAGCCCTACCTCCAGCACAGCCCCCCCGTCGGCCTCCTTGCTTGTCTCCCTGGGAGCTGCCTGTCTTGTCAGGCTGGCCCTTGTCCTTCCTTTCTGGAATGCTCCACGTTTGCCCTTTTCACCCCTCCCTGTTGCCAGTGAATGCCAGGCTGCACCCTCCATGGGGAAGGTGGCCCATCCCTCCCTGCTCACAGCTGCGGCCCTCGAGCCTGCCCCTCCTCACCTCGCCTCCCAAGGGTGGGCTCCTGGCCTGGCTGCTCTGGGCTAGAGGGTCCTGAGTAGCCCACGTCCTGGGTGCCCAGCTGCCAGGGGCCTCGGGCCTGTCCTGTCTGGCCACTGCCATGTCTGTGGTGGCCCCAGGAGGCCATCCTCTGCCTACAGCTCCCGAGACAGAGCATCTCATCCCGCAGCTGCCCTCCCTTCTCTCTGAGGTGGCCTTGGCCAGGGCGTCTCCCTGACCCTGTCTCTGTGGCTGGGCGGCCTGAGATGCTGGGTCCTGCTCAGAAGGCCGTCGGGCTCCCCGGCTGGCCTGGCCTGGCCTGGGCAGGGGCCTCCTGACCCCACTGTTGTTCTGGCCCTGCAGGTGATCTTCCAGCTTCGCGCCAAACAGTGTGTGGCCTGCCGGGAACGAGCCCGCGGTGCCATCCTGCGGCCCTGTCAGCACCGTGTCCTATGCGAGCCCTGCGCAGCCAGCGCGCCTGAGTGCCCCTACTGCGAGGGCCAGCCCCTGCGGTGGTGACCTCAGCAGGGACAGCTGCCTCCTGGTGGGCACCCTGGCTCCAGTGCTCCTCGTGACCACAGCCACGTTGTCACTGCTGGTAACCCCGAAGCGAGGACCAAGGCTCGGAGCTCTTGCCCATGCTCGGCCCGGCGGCCCTCCTGATACATGATCACCTCTCTAGGCCCAGCGACGGTTTCAAGGTATTTTCCTCAAAAACCTTAAAAGCAAACCCACAGAACCCACTTGCTTGTCCTCACAGGGCCTGGTGCCTCAGGGGTCCTCGTGGGTGCTGTGTGGTCCTGACTCTGCTGTGACCGGGCCATTGGGAGCTGGGGTCTCGAAGCACTTTGTAGACTGAGGAATTTAGGTAGAGGTTCTAAATTGCTCTAAGCTGCTTTCTACATTCATGTTTTTTAATATGCGATAATATGAAGCTTTATACGTGTACTGTGAACTTAAACATTTCCTATCCGTTAATACATAGTATGCTAAATATTCTAGATTTCATATTCTGAAACTAGTACTTATGAAATGAGCGTTTCTCTAGTAGCAAGACCTAGAATTTTTACATTTTCCCATTAAGTGCAAATAGTATTATTTATAAGCAGAGTGATTACTGAGAGAGATTAACTTTATGGAAGGAGCTAGTTTTCCTAAGCCCATGCACGTGTGCATGGAACTGGAGTCTGTATTCCACGCTCGTGGTGTGGGGGCAGGAGAACCCAGGCCTGCATTTCTGTGATCTGTGGCCACGTTTTCTAAGTGCCTGTGCCTTGAAAACATGTGAAGGAACATCACTGGTTTTATTTCCTCCCGTGAACCTCTGAAAGACAGTTTGATACTAACGAAAAATCCAGCAGAGGGACCAGACATCAGAGATTTTAGAATTACTTTTTTAAGAAGCTGTCTTCTGGCCGGGCGTGGCGGCTCACGCCTGTAATCCTAGCACTTTGGGAGGCCGAGCCGGGAGGCTCACCTAACATCAGGAGTTCAAGACCAGCCTGGGCAACAAGGTGAAACTCTGTCTGTACTGAAAATACAAAACGTAGCTGGCCGGCGTGGCAGGCACCGCCTCAGCTGCTGGGGAGGCTGAGGCAGGAGAATGGCTCAAACCCAGGAGGTGGAGACTGCAGTGAACTGGTGTCTCACCACTGCACTTCAGCCTGGTACAGAGCGGGACTCCGTCTCAAAAGGAACAAAGCAGTTGTCTTCTGATGACTCAGCTCTCACAGGCAATGGTGCTTTGTAAGTCCTTGGAGAATTGCCTCCCTGGCACCTGTGACCACCCCCAGTCCTGCTCGCTTAGGAGACGCTCCAGCCATGGTGCCAGAGTCCAGGGCGCTGGGTGTGTGTGACCGTCACCTGCCCTGTACTGCCAGGTATTAGTGAAGCTCATGCATGTGGCCAGTGAGGTCATACAGAGGACCCTGCCGCTCGGTGGCCTGGAGCACGTGCAGGAAGCAGCGTGCACAGTCCCGGCTCTGCTGCGGCCCCGTGCCCGCCCGCCCTGCAGCGACAGCGAGGCTTCTGGCCGTAGCAGAAACGCGACTAAGAACACGTCCCCACGATGACCTGACCCTTCTCTGCTCAGGCCTGGGATTGTCCCTGGGAGTTGAGGAGCAGGTGTAGGCGTCCAGGTGACGGCAGCCTGGCTCTCCGCGAGGCCCCACGGGCTGTGAGGGAGCGGGAGGCGGCACCAAGGCATTTGTCCCGGCCCATGGCTTTGCCAAAGACTTTTAATAGCATTTTTTAAAAGTGCAAAATGCTCGGTAAAAACTTTATCAGTGACCAAATTAGAATGTATTTAATACAGTAGGAGGTTTAAGAACTTTTCAACATAAGACAAACTGATAGCCACGTTCTGTCATTTTAAAGGAAGCGGATCCGTGACATTCTGCAGCTAGTCCGCTACTACAGGTAACTGTTGACTTGGTTTTAGTGACTGTTCTGTTTTTAATGATAGTGATGATTTATATTAGCTCAGTATCTAGAACTTGCGTCTATTTTGTGCTCCTGTCATCAGTGTTTAAAATCCTTTGTTTTCATTAGTATTTATGCACTTGGTTCCCATTTCGGGCCTCTGGTCTTTTGTGGAATGTGTGGTGCCTGCCTGGGGGGTCCGCTGGTTGTCAGCAGTCAGGGGCAGCTGAGCCCTTGTCCGCCGCTGCTCTGCTCTTTCTGGGAACGAGGTGGCGGCTGCCCCTCAGGCATCTCCAGGGCTCAGCTTGCAGGTGGTGGTGCTGGGGAACGGCTGGGAGATGGAGGTGGTACCTCCTCCCCCAGATCAGTACTGGCTCTGAGGACAGGAGTGCGGTGGGAAGACCAAAGAGTGGCCCGGGGCACACGGGCATCGCCGGGGTTGGAAATGGAGGCAGGAGCCTGGGGCCCCAGGTCCTGGGCCCTTCGTTACCTGACTCTGCTCTTGAGGGCCGAGGCCTCAGGTATGGATCCTGGGCGGTCGAGGTGCACAGCAGTGGCTGGATGGTGCTGAGCTGGAGGCAGGCCTGGTGGCTCCCACCTGTGGCCAGGCGGGCCCTGGGCGTGGGAGCCGGGTGGTGGGTGGTCCCGCCGTGGTCTTGTTGCCTGTAACTCTAGTGTTCAATAGTAGTCGTGATACAATGGCGTCACGACGTGTGTAACTGTGGTCAGCAGACCTCGTTCCATGTGGACACGTCACATGGATTAATTTATGGAAGCCTCAATCTATTTAGATGAGAATGTTAATTGAATGGAATTTTCTTAACCCAGAAGGTAGTATTTATAATGCATAATCATTTACTTGTAGTAATTGTTTAAAGGTAACACTTGTTTAAGTTTTTTACACTATAGCATTTATGCAATGGTTTACAGAATTCATGGAATTATTTTTATCAGTATGGGAATTAATTAAAACCTTGAATCTTTGTTTTGTCTGCTTCTCTGAGCACAAGCCTGGCCGGCTGGTCCCTGGGGGTTCCCTCTGGCTGGCTTCTCTGTGGGGCTCTTCACACCAAAGGCTCACAAGCTCCCACGCAGGCCCGGGTCGCCCCGCAGCTGCTCTGCAGGCCCCGGTCTGGGCATCTTGTGGCCGAAGTGTTCCAAGCTGGAGGTTTCTGCTAAAACAGCAGGGGGCCAGTCCTGATCTGGACCCACAGGCAGTGGGTGCTGGGGTGGGCCTGGCCCCTCGCCACAGTTGGGACTCACCTGTGGGTTTTGCGTGGGGGATGCCATGCTGGGTGAGCAGACCTCTCAGCCTTTTCATCTCCTTCGACAGTTCTTTATGAGCCTATGGCAAAACGAGTGGAAGGGCAGGGCCAGGCTAGGCTATATGGGCGAGGCAGTGCATGCTGCCCCTGCCCCCAAGACCGTACCTTCCTGCAGTTTTCCAGGGTCTCAAACCCCAAGCCGTCAGGACCTCCCTCCAGCTTGGGGGCTTCATTTTCTTCTGGGCTCCTTAAGTAGCCGGCGTCCTCAAAAAGTGTCTGCAGCAACTTCTCATGGCCCTGAAGGTGGAGGATGCAGGGGCAGCACCCAGCTCTCAGCCAGGCCCGCCTGGGGCTGCCCTGCGTACCCGCTCACCTGGGGGGTGATCAGCTCGTCAGCCAGGTCCTGTTCCACCTGGTCCCACCGCCGCTGCAGGGCCTCCGGTAGGGCCGGGTACACTGAGGATCCAAGAGAAGCCAGGCTGAGCCGCACCTTGTGTCCCAACCTGGTCCCACTGTGGCAGGGGCCTGGTCCGACTGGCCACCCCAACCTGGTCCCACTGTGGCAGGGCTGGGTACGAGGACAACCCATCTGGGCTCTGCGCCTGCACCCTTACCTAGCAAGGAGTGGGGGTGGCAGACGAGGGGGGTCTCGAATGTCAGCGCATACACACAGGTGCTGGGCTCGGACACGTGGGCCAGCCGGTTGCTTTTTCCACATGTCAGCTCCACCTGGGGAGGGAAGGCAGGCGGGTGGGTGGGTTGGGGAGGCCGGGGCCCCTCTTCCAGTACTCCTGTCTGAGGCCTCACCTTGCTCTGCCGGCTCCGAGAGCGGCAGGCGTCGCCATCCCTCATCCACATGCCCGTGAAGGTGTTGTTGGCGATCTCCCACTCGTGCCAGATGCTGGGGGGACACGGCGCAGCGTATGAGGCCGGGCGGGGAGCTGGACTGCTGCGGACCCCTGGCCCGGCCCTGCTCACCCAAGGATCCCACTGTAGGCGTTCCAGCGGAAGGTCTGCTCGTGCTGAGTCACGTTGTGGAATGGACAGAACTCGTACTTGTACCTGGGGGCACAGGTGGCCTAAGGGAGGTCCCCAGGCCACGCCCAGCCCACCCTCACCCCCACGCTGCACTCACGTGGACTCCACCAGGCTGAAGCACTTGCCGGAGAGTCGGGAGAGATGCACAGGCCCTGGAAGAGAAGCGAGCCGTGAGTGGCCAGAGCAGAGCCGCAGGGGACGAAAACCGAGACTCGAACCAGAGCTCGAGCAATGGCAGCAAACGCCAGACCAGGAGGCTCCGAGGTGCTTTCCCCGTGAAAATGAGAACCCCCAGCCAACTGAGCTAACCTCACAGGAGGGGTCACCCCATCAGGACAGAGCAACCTTCAAGGCAGTAGACCGAGCTCTCCTGTGCCCATGCATGGCGCTGGGAGGGCCTCGGTACAGCACCCTGGCCTGGCCAGGGCTGCCTGGAGGACCTGCCTTGCTCTGCCCCATTCAGATGTCAGGAGGGCCAGTCACCCAGGAGAGCGCGGCAGGACTGCGGAAATGAAGGCACTCTGCAGCAGCCATGCACATAGGAAGCTGGGCATCGCAGCGGCAGGCTGAGAGGAGACTGCAAACCTTCCTCTCTGACCTGACACTGATCCCCAGGCTCCAGCACAGAACCCGTGAGGAAAGACTGACCGAGAGGAATCTGTTTGCAAAGGACCAGTTATCAACAAAAAGCACAAGACACAGGAAAAGGGGTCCCATTCAGTGGAAGAAACTGGCAAACTGAGAATTCTACATTCAGGAAAGTAGCCCTTCAAAAATGAGAGTGAAGGCTTGGTGCAAGTGGCTCATATCTGTAATCCCAGCACTTTGGGAGGCCAAGGCGGAGGGATCGCTTGAGGCCAGGAGTTTGAGAGCAGCCTGGGCAACATTTCGAGACCCCCGTGTCTGCACAAACACACACACACACAATTAGCTGGGTGCAGAGGTGTGCACCTGTAATCCTAGCTACTTGGGAGGCTGAGGTGGGAGGCTTCCCTTGAGCCGAGGAGATGCGGAGGCTGCAGTGAACTATGATCGCACCACTGCACTACAGCCTGGGCAACAGAGCAAGGCCCTGTCTCCTAAAAAGAGCGGACACGCCCAGATAAACAAAAGCTTCAGGAGCTGGTCAGCAGCAGTCCTGTGTGCCACCCAGGAAGGTGAGCAGACAGCAGCCCATCTGGAGGAGACAGAAGGCCCTGGAACAGGGAAGTGCGTGGGTCAGTTAAAGGCCGTTCTCCTCCTAGCTGTGGTCTGTAAACCTTAAAGTCTGAACACGGCCAGCCCCCACCTTTTTGGCACCAGGAACTGGTTTCATGGAAGGCAGTTTCCCACCACCCAGGGCGGGGGGGTGCGAGGTTTGGGGAGGAAACCTCCAGCTCAGATCATCAGGCATTAGATGATGATGATGATTTTTGAGACAGTCTAACTCTGTCACCCCAGGCTGGAGTGCAATGGCACCGTCTCGGCTGACTGCAACCTCCACTTCCTGGGTTCAAGTGGTTCTCCTGCCTCAGCCTCCCGAGTAGCTGGGATTTCAGGTGTCCGCCACCATGCCCGGCTAACTTTTGTATTTTTAGTAGAGACGGAGTTTCACTGTGTTGGCCAGGCGGTTCGCTAACTCTTGACCTCAAGTGATGCACCCGCCTTGGCCTCCCAGGTGCTGGGGTTACATGCGTGAGCCACTGCGTCCGGCCTGAAAGACCAACTTTAAAGACAAACAAGTTGAAAGTGAAGGTATGGAAAAATATCCACGTAAACGGCCAAAAGAGCTGGAGTGGCTGAAACGATTACGAGACACAGAGATGTTCCGTGCTGACGCGAGGGTCCGTGTGCCAAGATACACAATTAACCATGCACGTGCCACCAACCACGTGGCGGCAACACGGGCAGGAGACAATGATATCCCACTTCTTTTTTTGTGTTTGAGACAGTCTGGCTCTGTCACCCAGGCTGGAGTGCAGTGGTGCGATCTCTGCTCACTGCAACCTCCACCTCCCAGGTTCAAGTGATTCTCCTGCCTCAGCCCCTCCAGTAGCCAGGATTACAAGCACCCGCCATCATGCCCAGCTTATTTTTGTAGAGAAGGGGTTTCACCATGTTGGTCAGGCTGGTCTTGAACTCCTGGCCTCATGATCCACCTGCCTCAGCCTCCCAAAGTGCTGGGATTACAGGCGTGAGCCACTGCACCCAGCCTGATACCTGATTTCTAACGTGATAGAATCAGCAACGGGAAGATCCATGAGGAAACAGGCCTCCCACAGCCCTAGAACCCAACAAGCCTCACAGAACACTCCACACAAGAGCGAAGACACACTTTTTAGGTGCACATGGAAATTTTTTTCAACGAGAGACCACATGTTACATCACAAATTTGGTCTTTTTTTTTTTTTTTTTTTTTGGAGACAGTCTCACTCTGTTGCCCAGGCTGGAGTGCAGTGGCTCGATCTCGGCTCACTGCAGCCTCACCTTTCTGAGTAGCTGAGATTACAGGCACCCATCATCCTATCCAACTAATTTTTGTAGACATGGGGTTTCACCAAGTTGGCCAGGCTGGTTTTGAACTCCCGGCCTGAAGAGATCCGCCTACCTTGGCCCCCCAAAGTGCTGGGATTACAGGCATGGCACTGTACTCAGCCTCAAAACTGGTCTTAAAAAGGAAAATTATCTTTTGATCACAAAGGAGTGAAACTGGAAATTAATAGAAAAGCAAATGGAAAATTAACACGTGGAAATTAAATAAGACAGTCTTTTTTTTTTTTGACAGAGTCTTGTTCTGTCGCCCAGGCTGGAGTGCAATGGCGTGATCTTGACTCACTGCAACCTCCACCTCCTGGGTTCAAGCGATTCTCCTGTCTCTGTCTCCCGAGTAGCTGGGACTGCAGATGCCCACCACCACACCTGGCTAATTTTTGTATTATTAATAGCGATGGGTTTTCACCATGTTGGCCAAGTCTCAAACTCCTGACCTCAGGTGATCCTCCCGCCTCAGCCTCCCAAAGTTCTGGGATTACAGGCGTGAGCCACTGCGCCTTGCTCAGTCTTAAACGATGGTCAAAGAAGAAATCACAGTGTGAATTAGAAAGTACCTTGAGACATAAAAATGAAAAGCCACCATATTTACAGGAAGCTTACATGATGGGCAAAGCCCGTGATGAGATGGAAGTTCACAGCTATAAACAGGTTGGAAAACATGGTCTGGGCACGGCGGCTCACGCCTGTCATCCCAGCACTTTGGGAGGCCCAGACAGGCAGATCATGAGGTCAGGAGATCCAGACCATCCTGGCTAACATGGCAAAACCCTGTCTTGACTAAAAATACAGAAATTAGCTGGGCGTGGGGTTGTGCGTCAAGTTCCAGCTGCTTGGGAGGCTGAGGCTGGACCCTCACTTGAACCCGGGAGGCAGAGGTTGCAGTGAGCGGATGTCTCGCCACTGCACTCCAGCCTGGGCGACAAGCGAGACTCTGTCTCGTGTATATTAAACCTTTCAATCCGTAAACATGGCTTACCAGACGGAGTCTCACTCTGGAAAAATTTAATGTTTTACGCTGACAGTATCACCCAAAGTGATCTGCAAGTTCAGTGCGATCCCTGTCAAAATCCCTGGGACAGTTTTTGCAGAAATAGAAAAATACATCCTAAAATTCACATGGAGCCTCAGAGGACCCCAACAATTGAGCAACCTTGAAAAAGAACAACAAAGTTGAAGGACTCATACATACTGAATTCAAAAATTACTTCAAAGCTGTCATGATCAAAACAGTGTGGTCTTGGCGTAAAGGCTGGAATAGAAACTTGTGGAAGAAGACAGAGGGCCTGGGAAAAAACCTGAACAGACAGTGAAATGGTTTAACAAGGGTGCCCAGACCCTTCAGTATGGAAGGGACAAGCTTTTCAACAGTGCTGGGGAAACTAAACGCCATGCGGAGACTGCAGGTGGACGCTCCCTTTATACCACATACAGCACGAAGCTCCAAATGGATCTAAGACCTAAACATGAGCTACAACTATGAAACTCTTCACACTCCTTAACGCTGGATTTGGCAGTGATTGCTTGGATCTCACACCAAAAGCACAGGCAACAAGAGAAAAACATAGACTTCAAAATAAAAAGCATCCGTGTATCAAAAGACCTCATTGGCCAGGTGCGGTGGTTCACGCCTCATCCCAGTGCTCTGGGAGGCGGAGACGGGCAGGTCACGTGAGCTCAGGAGTTTTGAGACCAGCCTGGCCAACATGGTGAAACCCCATCTCTACTAAGTAAAAATTTGCCAGGCATGGTGGCGCCTGTCTGCAATCCCAGTTACTTGGGAGGCTGAGGCAGGAGAATCTCCTGAGCCTGGGAGGTGGAGGCTGTAGTAAGCCATGACTGCACCACTGCACTCCAGCCTTGGTGACAGAGCAAGACTCCATGTCAAAAAAAAAAAAACAAAAAAAAAAAAAAAAAAAAAAAAAAAAAAAAAAGGCAAAGGATTGAACAGAGACTTCTCCAAAGACCACTTAGAAACCAACCATAAGCAACCGAAAAGATGCTACATCACCGATCATTAGGGACCACTTCACACCATTAGGATGGCTGTTAGCAAAAACAGTGTTGCTGATGATGCGTAGAAATTCGAACCCTCATGTGATGCTGGCTGGGGAATGGGACAGCCACGATGGGAACAGTCTGGGGCCCCTCAACAAGCTAAACAAGGCATTCTTACAAGACTCCGAAAACCTCCTCCTGGAAATTGGAAGCAGAGACTCAAATACCTACGCACATGTTCACAGCAGCCTCTTCACAGCCGAAGGGTGGAAGCGCCCCCCGCCCCCCGTCCCCCGTCCATGAACGGATGGCAGGTAGGTAACAGATGCTCCGTCCTTGCGACGGGACTGTCCTGAGCCTCAAAGGGAAGGAAGCACGGGCACAGGTGCACCCTGGATGGACCCTGGGGACGCTGCACTCAGAGAAGATCAGACACAAAAGCTGCACACAGTTTGAGTCACTTGTGTGACATCTCTCCAACAGCCGTGTTCAGAGACAAAGCAGAGCGGTGGGTGCAGGGGCCGGGGAGTGGGGCAGCTGGGGGCCGTGTGAAGGGGACAGAGGATCAGTTTGTGATGACAGTTTCTGGAGTCGGGTGGTGCTGACGGCTACCAGGGCAGCGCAA